ATCTCTTAGAATTGATCAAACTAAACAAAGCAATTTTATAAGTTACAAATGGGATGATAACATTCTCCAAAATAGTTATCGTAATCTTGAAGTTGGACGCGGTCAGGATATCATTTATGATTTGCAAAAAATCGAGATGGAACTCGCACGTGGATTAGTTTATGAAAAAGTTCATATAAGCACTTTGAATGATTCACAAGCGTACATGGAACCTTTCCCCTATCATATGGAATTATTTCAAGGATACATGAGAATTCTTGGTGACATCAAATCTTCAATTCTTCAACAGAAAATTCCATCTGATAAGATTCCTCTAATCATGGACGTGATACCAACTAGCTCTTCACACGCGGAATACATGTATCATAATATTTATTCATTATCTTTTAATAACGCGTCTGAGCTTCTTACTTCATTAGAAATTTTGCTCTGTTTCGTAAAACGTACATCGATTGGAAGTGAGGAGACAACCATTCGTGATTATGTAAATCAATGGATGAAATTGTCTGAATTATTAAAATACAAATCCTTTAATAATTTGTTAAATACCGGATTATGTCTCAAACACTTGATAGATTTATATGAATTAATTGAAGAGCAGGTTGCAAATTCCGTGGTAAAGTATATTGATGACAAATTTAAAATTGACCTTTCAGTAGAAATGAAGGACGAAATTGATTCGGCAGTTGAATTTGAACGAACTTCAATGTCAAAAGAACGTATACCAGCAGAAGTATTCGCACTTGCATTGAAAAGATTTATGCTAAGATTTTTGAAGGATATTAGTAACGATCAACTTCCATTAAGCTATTATATAAATGATGAAGGACTTAATTTGTGGCCAGCCGAAATTTCAGATGAGCTATTAGAAAAATTTCCGGAGTCCTTATTAATATGTCACATTTATACGGCTTATGAATATGTTTGCTCGAAAAATTCGATCAAAAGATTTTAAAAAAATTTTTTTTTATTTTATTTTCGAAATTAAAATATTGAACTTTTTGGAATATTATATATATGTATATTTTTAAATAGTGAATAAAAATATCCGATAGGATTAGTTTACCAGTAAACAAAATCAATTATAATTTTTTATGTTTATCAAAATGATTCGCCATGAATTAATACGTTATGCTAAGGAATTCCATATAGAAATCGTAATCGATGACATTTATCAGCCAAAAATTACATTTGGAGATTTTGATCTTGTCATATGGTAAAACTATCTTTGGATAGAATTACGAAATTCCGATTAATATTCATGTTAAAACGGCTGAATTGTTGGTTTGGTATATCGTTCCAAAAGTATTTTCGTTACAATAATATTGGAGCATGTAATGAAATAATGAAATACCTTACAATATCGTTTAAGAAAGTATTCACCTTGTTGAATCTCGATTTTTTTGTTGAAACTTTGGTCCAGTTAACACATAGACCGAAATTCATCAAACGTTGCATTTTTGAAGATCAAGATATCCATTCATTCAGTGGCCCTGCCATTACGCATTCCTTTAACTTCAAAATTATCGAGAATCACACCTAAAAACACAGTTATATTTATATATTTTTCTTAATATATTCTTGCTTCAAATCGATCCTACTAAAATAAATACTTTTCGAATCTGCGTCTTTAAATGTTATAAAAAAGGTACATAACTCTTTCTAATTACCAATTGATCCTGCAAAGAACAAATTTAATGTACTTTCCAATTATTTATTTATTTTGAGGCGTTTAGCCCTATAATTTTGTTACATAAAGATGAAATCCTTTGGATATTATTACACAAAAAATAAATTTAGTGGTTATAATAATTAGGACAATAGAGTCTTTCGTGCCTTAGAATATTTCTTAAACGTAAGGAGGTATACTTCAAATGTTTCTTACTACTTTTCATAATCGAAGATTACAAATTAAAGCATTTTAATTTGTGGCGCAGAGATTTATTTGAGAAAAAATATTGCTAAAAAAATTTATTAGGCATTGTTTCCGGGTTTGGTTAGTCCAAATGATCAAATCTTTGAAATTTTTCGATTTTAGGTATAAAAAATGAAAGAATCGCATGTTCGTGACATCGTGACATTTGATTGGTATATAGATCAAGTAAAACCTAAACCTTTATATCGTTTATTATTAATAATAAACATGAAAAGCTTATAGCATAACTTGCAATTACTGCACCATTAATCATGGATTCCAAGTTAAATATTATTAGTACGAGTACCAAAAATATCGGTGATAATGATCGTATCTAATTTTAAGGGGAGGATCTAAAAGTTTTCTAATTAATCGCTTTTTTTTAACGTCATATTTATTATTTAAGCGTAGCGTTTATGAATTTGTATCAAACATTTATTAAATAATTTTAACAAAATTTTGATAAAAACATTATTATATTATGGAATTACATAAATAATCGTATAAGATATCGGTATTGCTATAGAAGGAGAAGATTTTCTTTGATCTCTCTTTTTTGATATTCCGATGATATTTTTTTTTTTAGTACATTGTAACGATCAGGGAAATCAAAATTGGTGCGACATTATTTATTCGGTCTTACTGTATATCCGAAAACTGAAGTCAGAAAAAAATATAAAAGGACGCGAAATACAAAGAAATATTAATTATTTATTTAGTAAATAATAAATAAAATCATGTTCATTATTATTTTACTTAAAGAAATCTTCACCATATTAAAGTTCCTTCTCGTAATTGACATCCTAAGATTTTATTTCAAGTATGTCACTCGACAAAGCCCGTTACCTGGACCATTCCCTTTACCGTATATAGGAAACGCCTTACAAATTCTTTACATGAATTTCAAGGAGGGAAATTATCAATTCGATCTGGGGGAGTACGCAAGAATGCAAGTCGAGAAATACGGTCATATTTCAGAAGTATATCAAGGAAGTACTAGAGTGATTTACTTAAGTAAAGCGGAATACTTGGAGAAAGTTTATGTGCCCAATTCTAATTCGAATTATTTTGCCAGACCGGATATAAACGGTGTGAGTGAAGTGAACGCTGTACACGGTTTATTTTTTAATAATGATTTTAAAAGTTGGAAGAGGATTAGAAAATTCGTTTCGCAATCTTTAATGTCACCAAGATTTATACGTGAATTTACGAGCACCATACAACAATTGTTTGAAGAGAA